TGCTGCCACACCTCCACCACCACCACTAAATTTTCTTGTACTTTTGGTCCCTCTCTAGCCAACTGTGTCCCACCAAGTCTATCAGGCAACTGGAAAAGAACTAAAGCCAGGAAGACCCTGAGTAGTGTATTTTGTTTGTTTGTTTGTTTGTTTGTTTATCCAACACACTGAGCATGGCCTTGATACTGACCTTGACTTGACTTCCCTTTTCCTTTGCCTGGCCTCCTCTCAAACTTGCTCCTGGTTCTCCCAGCCCTGGTCTACTCTCACAGCAAAGAATAGCTCCCAGTGCTAATATTAAGGGTAAAAAGCTGTCAGGTGGAATTTTTATAAAGTAGTAAGACAAAAGAATCCACTGCCAAGCAGCAAAATTATGTGGAAAAAAAGCATTTTGCTAGGTTGGTGGACTCTAGGCTGATTTCTCTGAGGGAAAAATCTATATCTTTGAAATAGTTAAGTGGAATCACAAGTATAATTGCAGATTCCTAATTTAAGAATATGTCAGACAGCTATATCAGACAGTTGCCTGGATAAATGATATGTCCATGTAGAATGGTGACATTTTTCTTTAGAAACCTCTTTTTATGGCCGGTTGCGGTGGCTCACGCCTATAATCCCAGCACTTTGGGAGATCAAGGTGGGCGTATCATAAGGTCAGGAGATGGAGATCATCCTGGCCAACATGGTGAAACCCTGTGTCTACTAAAATACAAAAAAAAAAAAAAATTAGCTGGGTGTGGTGGTGCGTGCCTGTAGTCCCGGCTACTTGGGAGGCTGAGGCAGGGGAATCTCTTGAACCCGGGAGCCAGGGGTTGCAGTGAGCCAAGATCACACCACTGCACTTTAGTCTGGCAACAGAGCAAGACTCTGTCTCAAAAAAAGAAACCTCTTTTTATTTAAAGGGTAATACACGTGTAGTGTATAAAATCTAGACATGATTTAAAAGTATGAAAAATAAAAATAACCCTTAATTCCACCACACAAAGGTAAATACCCACTGGTACAATATTAGTACATTTATATCCAGCCTTTCAATATGTGCATGTCTGTGTAAGAATATGGATATATATGCATATACATTTCTTGAATTGGACTTGTAATATGTTCAGGTTTGTATATAATTTTTAAATTTACCATTATATTGTGAGCCTTTTTCAGGATCATTAAGTAGTCTTCAAAAACGTGGTTTTTAATGACAAACTATTATTCCTCCATGTAAATACACAATATGTTCTAACTCTTGCTAAATGTGGGACAGCTAGGATATTTCAAATTTTACCATTATGAATAACCCTGCAGTGGAAGACACTTCAAGTACGTAAATCAGTGTGTACATCTTTAATGGCTTTCTTAGAATAAAATCCTAGGAGTGGAAAAACTGGATCAAAGGATATGAAATTTCTTAAATATAATTCACATACCATAAAATTTACTACTTCAAGTGTGTAATTCAGTGGGTTTTAGTATATTCACAAGGTTGTGAAACCATTACCACTAATTGCAGTAAAAATATGGAGCATTTCACAAATTTGCACATTATCCTTGTGCAGGAACCACGCTAATCTCTGTATCATTGCAATTTTAGTATATGTCAGCCAAAGCAAGCACAGTAGGAACATTTTAAGTCTCCTGATAACATATGCCAAAATTCCCTTTAGCAAGTGTGTACCTATTTCCATTCCCACCCAACAATGTATATCTATTTCCCCACAACTTTGTCAGCACTTATCTTTAAAAAGTATTGCCAATATCATTGAAAATGGCATTTCATTGTTTTGTCTCTATTACCAGCCCTTCTTCCTCTTCTCCCTGAACTGTAGACCTGCAGAGATCTATCATCCCCTGTCCCCTTTGCATACGTTAGCCATGGGCAGTCACATCCACTGCAACAGCCTTTCTGGATAGTGACCACATGTCCATACCGTGCCCTAACCTCTTTCTAGTACTGCAGTCCACACATTAAGCTGCTCGCTGGGCACACCTACCTACAGAATTTGCTAGCATAACAAACTAATATCTGAAATCAAACTCATGTTTCCTGAAGCTTGTTCTTGCCTGTGACTTTGCTATTTAGATTAGTGATATCAGCCTTCTACGTGCTTCACAGCCATCTGTTCTCTCTGCTTATGTAATCAGTAGTCCAACCCTATTGATTCTCTGTCACATTCTTCCTTTCTGCTCCATCCCCACTGCCATTGCTCTGATTTTACCTTTTATTGTGTTTATTCCGTTAGCCTACTCACTTCTCTATGCTTCCAGTATCTATCCACATAATTTATCCTACACAAGGTTACCATAATAACTTTCCTATAATACCGCTTGTACCATATTGCTCTCCTACTCTGGAACTTCCAAGGGCTCTCTCTTGCCTATTGGATTATGTGAAGTAAAGGCTCTAACTTGACTCTTAAGGTCCACCATGCTCTTGTATCATTCTAATTTCACTTCCTCTGTGCCCTATAAAAACTGTGTTTTCTTCTTTCATGGTATTCCTGTGCTTCCCACTTCTGTTCATGCAAATCTGGCATGGCCTCTCTCCCAGTCATCTTCAGTGGTGATCGTATTGACTCTTCCAAAATCAGCTCAGGGGTTCTGTGATGCTGTTCTTGATTCAAGCAGCAGTGCTCTCTCCTTCTTTTGACTCTCATTTTGTTAGCATTTCCTTTCTGATACTTCTGACATTCCATCCTTCTTAATGGTCTTCTAGGTATTTTTTGTCCATCCTCTACCACACTAAATTCCTTGAGCACAGGGATTATTTCTTTTTCATTTTGGCATGTTGCCTAGTACCTCTCCAAACACCTTAAATGTAGATAGAGGAGCTCTGTAAATGCTTGGACAAAACAATACTGAAGACTGCCAATTTTCTTTTGAGAGCCACTAATGACTCAGTTTCGGGAAGGAATACTGTGCTAAGAAGGTACAGATGCCAGGTGACTCGAGCGTCATAGCTCATTCTTTTTTCTTCATTCTCCATATTTAGTCCATCAACAAATACTGTCAGCCCTACCTCTCCAAAATACCTCTAATCAAATCTCTTGTTCTTGTCCAGACTGCTACTTTCCTAGAACAAACCACCATTATCTCTTCCCTATAATAGTCCCTTTAAATGGTTCTCTCTTCTACTCTTGACCCACCCCGCTAAATCCATCAGCCAAGTCAAACCTTTAAAAAACTTACGTCATGTTAGTCTTCTGCTTAACTACCTCTTACAATTTCCCATTTCACTGAGAATAAAATTCAAACTGTTTCAGCCTTTGGAAACTCCATGATCTGGCCTATGCACCTCCCCAATATCATCTCCCACTACAGTCCACCTTGCTCACTGTGCTCTAGCCCTGCTGGGTGTTGGCTCCTCCTGGTTGTCAAGTTGTATCAAAGCAGAGTGACTGGGTGTTCTTGTTTCTATTGGGGTCCTAACTGTTTTTGGCTATTGTCCTAGAGCTCCGTGTCTTTAGTAGTAGAGATGACTTGGGGAGTGGCCAGAAGTAGTTCTGAGGCCTTTGAGACTTGACTCTGGGAAAAACCTTTATGGATTCCATCAGACCTCTGAAAAGTGGTAGGTCGAACAGTGAGTTTGGACTGAAAGAGATAATGGGCTTCAAGGAGGAAGAAAGAAAAACTGGTATTTTTCCTGCAGCCTCTTTCCCAAGGGATGCTATAAATGTTACTGATAGAAACCAGAGCTGGAGGACAAACATCCTCCACCTTCTTTATCGCTTTGGGTGTTGGTTTAGGAAACTGGGTATCATGGCAAAAACTTTAAGGCTATCCGTTGAGTCAGATGGTGCACTGTGAACTTGATGCCATTTTCCCTATGTGCTCCTCTGAAGTCTCCCTTAGCCCTCTGGTGTTGCACCCTTAACTTTTGTACATAGAAGGGAGAGGGAAAAAACCTCTTTTCATTATTCAGATTCTGGACTTGCTTCCCTTGCTTCTAGAAGCTTCGAAATATTCACTATCCACCTCTTTGCCTTTAGGATCATTGACAAGATTAACCAGCATTTTCCCTCTTCCATCAGTTAAACAAGTCTATGATTGGTATGTTTTATCACACTATATATATAAAAACTAGAAATTTCTCTCCAGCCCTTTCTGAAAGAAAATCCTGAGTACTGCATTTCTAAAGTACTAAGCATTTCCTACCCGCTGCCATGTGCAGAGCTTTCCCGAGTCATCTGTATGGTTACTTCCTGCCAACCTTCTTTGGAAAAAGAGGTGTTCCCCTATGTCTTAAAGATTTCAATGTGAAAATGGAGAAATGGAAGCAGAGGGTCAAATGTAATGCCCTAGCCAGATGAAGTTATCACTCCCTATGCAGAAAGACAAAGAGCACCCCTGACACACACCACAGCATTTGGGAGGAGTCTTTATTTCCACTCGAACATTCCCTTCTTTTCTTATTCCCTACACTGGGTTTCTTTTTAGCCAGGGATGGATTCTGAGGTGGAGGGTGTGGAGGGGGACCCAGCAGATTTACATGGAAGAACTTGAACTGGCTATTCAAAGGAGTGGGGGAGAGGAGGGGAGGCGGGGAGGCAGAGCTGGGTACCAAAAGCCCCTTCTCCAGAAAGTATTCATCTCTCAGATGACCCAGATTATAGCTTTCCCAGACTGATGAGAAAGCCATTGTCCTGAAAGTTCTCTTTCAAATTACACACACACACACACACACACACACACACACACACACACACACACACACTTCCCCCCTTGGTTGGGTCTATAATAAGGAAGGGTTTCCTGATTACCAGGCTGTAAGGACCCCAGCCAACAGTGGGTGGGGGTGGGCCTTCAGAGCTCTGTGTCCCTCCATGGCGACCAGGCAGCTTTTCCCCTCTTCTGTCAGATAAACAAGCCATGCATTGTTCTGTCCCCCGGCTTGTCTGTGGGCTTCCCTTCCTGCTGAGCTTGCCAGAATGAGCTTGGGCTTCTTCGTGTGGGGCAGGTGGAATGTGCTGTTTGGAGGGAGGCTGGAAGAGCCACAGAAAATAAACAGAGCTAATCAAGGACGTTATTTTGTGCTTCTATTTACACAAATACTTTAAAAAGAGGAAAGTACCCACACTCTGTTATGGTCCAGGCCTCAGGTTGAGCACAACCACAAGCAACAGGGGTCACATTTTCCTTTTTCCCCTAACGTTACAGCAGAGCCATGGTTCTCTTTCTGCTCATCTTCTCCCAAGTATCTCTTCAGGGGTCTGCTGGGAGCCAGGCTCAAAGACAGATGGTGCTATCGGAAGATATGGGATGACAGCTGACTAGGGCAGCTGGAGACTGACTCCTTTCAGAATTGGTCCACCTCCACCCCTCACCGCTCACAAGAGCCTTTATAAGGCCTCTCCTGGGAGCCAGCTTCTGGCTTTTCTGCTGCATGTGCCCACCTTCCTGTGCCCCCATGCCAAGTTCACGTCTCCTGAGTACTTGGAAAAGAAGCAGTCATCTTTACCGTCCCCTGAGCATAGGAGGTCATACTTGATCATGTTATCTGGAACTCAGCTCTGCTAAATGGGAGAGTATGCCCTTTTCCCTCCACCACATCTCCCAAGCTCTTCCCCAAATCCCAAACTGGCTGAACCTCTCAAGTTTCTCTCTCATCTTCCCTCAACGAAGGACTTCTTGAGTATACACTGTCTGTGCCCACCTGCCTACTCCTCATCTGATGACATCCCAACTCTCATCTTCACACCCTTTCTCCCTACCTCAGCCAGCCCCAGGAACATGCTTGCACCTCTAGTCACAATTTCTTCAGCCTCACCTGGCCACTGGCAGGGTCACACTGATAACAAACCAGTTGCTCTTTATTTTGTTAGGAAGTGGAGATTGGCAAGCTTCTTCAGGCAAGCGTTTGCATGGGCTGGGTCGCTGAGCAAAAGGAGAAAGACATTTGGTGACCAGAAGAGCAACGGAGGCTGGACACCCAGGCCTGAGGAATGAAATGAGAAGAGATTTTAACCTGACGCATTTTTTGGACCAGATTATGCCCTGGTATATTGCCACTGAAAATGTGGTTATCACACCAGGAGCATCAGTATCACTCTGGAGCTTATTAGAAAGTCAGAACCTGGGCCTCGCTGAATCAAAATCTGCATTTTAACAAGATCCCCAGGTGATGAGTATGCCCACTACAATTTGAGACGTGCTGTTCCAGAGCATACTGGGTTTGGCGTTTGAGCCTTCTTAGACTAGTCCTTTCTCTTTTATCTTCATTTGGATCGAAGAAATCAGTTTTCTTATTGCTACTGGTACCTTGCTCATTATTGTTTTGCATACGGGTAATATTAAAAACAGCATTTACTGAGTGCCTGTCACATGCCAGTCATGTTTTATAGATGAGGAAACCAAGGTTCTGTGACATGCCCAAGGCCAAACAACTAGTGAGTGGTAGAGCTGAGACTGTAAGCCAGATCCATATGCTCCTCAAAGCTCCCAAACTTTCCCCTTTGTAATGAGGCCATTACAGTTGATAAAACTGTACAACTGTAAAGTTGTACATTACAACTGTAATGAGGCCATTATAGTTGATAAAAGTCAACCCAGACTCTCCTGTGAGATACAGAGGGAAGAAAGGGGAAGGGGCCTCCAGGCATGATTTCCCCAGAGAGGAAAGGCCCTAGCATACTTCATGTCCTAAGGGAGTTTGCATAGCCCTCTCAGGAGTCAGAAATTACTGGAATTGAGGCCAGAGGCCAAGGGAAACTGGAGTAGGGAATTAGGAGTGTTAATGAAAGAAAAACCCTGACTCTAATTCCCCAAGATAAATTAAATCCTGGTGTCGGAGCCTGGGCTTAGGGGGTGCAACAAATCCACATAGGGCTGCTCTGGATTCTGGCTACTACGCTAATCACTTAGGGCATCATTTGGAGCCTCAGTCTGGGGCCTAGGACTACTACATCATAGCATGCTAGAGCGGGAAGGGTCATTTGTGACGACTGAATTCAATGTTTTATTTTGCAGGGAGGAAACAGAAGCCCAGAGAGTGGGAGTAAGTCGCCAGAGGTCAGAGTAAATTCATGGCAGATCCAGGGATACTAACCCCAAACACCACATTTCCAGCATTGGCACCTTTTCTAGAGTTGAAGTCTCTGGTGTGAAATTGGGTTTTCTTTGGATCTGCTCAAGTCCCCATAGGAAGTGCAGACCCCTGTAAATACATCCCAAAATGTTTGTGAGCCTTCGTATCTTACCAGGACCTTCACCTTGGAAAATCTCTCAGTCACTTGCCCCCAGCTATATAAAATCAGCTGGATTGCTACTCCTCTGGACCTGGAGGCTGCTGGTCCTGGCTTATCTGTACTTTTCTGGGGCCCAGAGGACCTGCAGAGATGGCTGGGTGGGGTCAACTCAGTCCAGGAAGCACAGGAATTCTTTTAAGAGTATGTGTCTGGGGTATTTTTCTCTCTCACTTACGTGTATTTTTAAAAATTCTTTTTAGACACCCGCTTTATCTTTCCCAAACATCATTTCCTTGCTCCTTTCCTGAGTTCTAGCAGTGGCTGGGGGCCCAGCTTCCTTATTGGCCTCTGAGCTGCCAAGGGGGTGGGCCAGGGCACAGAGGAGGTTGGAGTAGGGAGCAGGGGGGCTGTTTATGCTGCTGGAAGTGCCTTTCGTCCTTCCCTTTGCCACCAGGGTGGCTGGTTCCTAGAGCAGTGTCTTCACTCCTATCCAGCTCTTGACACTGGCTTTCATTCCCTAAGGCTGTGGCCATATCTAGGTCCACCCAGGCTGATGGTCATACCTTGCCTTCAGTACTACTCCTTCCTGTTCTTAGAACTGGAATCTGACTGTGCCTGAGCCCCTCGGATCACACTCAGCATCTTGGGCTGATGGTCCCTTGCCCCAGAAGGTCTTAACTGGAGGGCAGATGGGTCCCAGCTAAGGGAGGACGCTGGCTGGAGGGTTTGTCAACGAGAGTCTGAGCTAGCCGGATACCCCGCTCTCTCCCAAGCCATCTCTCCACCCTGGGCAACTTCCATGGTAGGTACAGCCAGTAGCCATGGCTGCTGCCACTCTTCCCCCTCTTGCTTTCTTCCTTCAATATTTCTTTCTTTTTCTTCCTAAGAAAAGCATTTTGGAGTAATGAAGGATGGGATGAGGTGTGTGCTTATTGATAGTGCCTGAGCCAGCCTTAGGAGAAAGGGCAAGCACTGGGGTCATTGCCTTCACATCTTGGCCTAGAGCTGCATGGTTGGTCATAGGCATTTTCTTACTTTTCTGTTTGTTTCTCCTCCTCTCCCTCTCCACTGCCTATGGAAGGAATGGTTTCAGCTCTAGGACTAATGAGACCTCCCTTTTCTGAGTGCTTCTTGAGGGAATTGCTATGGGAAACCTCAGGAATACAGGCTTTTTCAGACAGACTCTTCCTTGGAGAGGAGGGGTCGTGTGGTCTCCTAGGAAGAAACTGGAGGATCTGAGTTTCATTCCCAATTCTGCTGGTTATTAACTATGTGCTCTTGGCAAATCACTTAAGCTTTATGCGTCTCTTGTTCTCCATTTGTAAAGTGGGGATAATAATAACTTTTACCCGCTGGACATGGTGGCTCATGCCTGTAATCCCAGCACTTTGGGAGGCTCAGGCAGGAAGATTGCTTGAGGCCAGGAGTTCAAGACCAGCCTGGCCAACATGGTGAAAACCCCATCTCTACAAAAAAATACAAAAAAAATTAGCCAGACACAGCAGCATGTACCTGTAGCCTGTAGTCCTAGCTACTCAGGAGGCTGAGACAGAAGGATAACTTATGCCCAGGAGTTTGAGGTTGCAGTGAGCTATGATTGTGCCATTGCACTCCACCCTGGGCAACAGAGCCAGAGAGGCCCTGTCTTAATAATAATAACAATAATAATAACTGTTTCACATAAGGTTAGAGAGATGATTAAATCAGTTAATGCATGTGAAGTGCTTAGTGCCTGGCACATCTTAAGTGTTCAATAAGTGGTCCTTGCTGTGTGTTTTCTTTAAGTTTATACCGTATGTCAGGCACTATGCTGATTGATTTCACACATGGGACTGCATTTAATCCAAAACATAACTCATGAAAAACAGATGGTGATCTTCCCCATTTTGCAGATAAAAAATCTTCAACTCACAGAAGTGACTTGCCCGTGGCAACACAACTACAATTTGAATGCAAGTGTGCACTGACTTCAAGTCTAGGGCTATTCAGGACTAATAATAGGCCAAATAGTAGAACATATAGACAGTTTATTCTCCTGTCCCAAACTAGGGTTAGAAGGCTGTAGGTCTGGCTCCAGCTCCCTCTGTTTGGATTTTTGTTCTTCTAGCCTTTAGTTTTCTCTGTGCCCCAAAAGCCCCCACTTCCCGCTTCTGTCTACTTTGGGATTATTTCCTACTCCTGGAGAAACCCTAGAAAGAGTAAGGGGTCAACCAGGCATGGCGGCTCATGCCTGTAATCCCAGCACTTTGGGAGGCTGAAGTGGGTGGATCACGTGAGGTCAGGAGTTCGAGACGAACCTGGCCAACCTGGTGAAACCCTGTCTCTACTAAAAATACAAAATTAGCCGGGCATGGTGGCGCATGCCTGTAATCCTAGCTACTCAGGAGGCTGAGGCAGGAGAATTGCTTGAACCAGGGAGGTGGAGGTTGCAGTCAGCCGAGATCGTGCCATTGCACTCCAGGCTTGGCGACAAGAATGAGACTCGTCAAAAAAAAAAAAAAAGAGTAAGAGTCTTTGTAAGGTATGTTTCACAGTGTGGCAAGTGGATGGTACCCTAGGTGTGGGTACTCTTGAACCATCAAAAAGTACAAGTCTGAGCTAATAACCGTTATTATAGTAGCTGCTATTTACTGACCACTGGCTGTGCATCAGGTTGTGTCCCAGATGCTTTGAGAATACTATCTCTAATCCCCACAGTCACCTAGCCAGATAGGAATTGTTTCCTTTCTCAGATAAGAAAACTAAAGTTCAGATGGGTTAAGCGACTTACAGATACACACATCTAAAGTGACAGAGGGGATTTGAACCTACATCTGTCTCACTCATTTTTCACTCATTGCCTACTGGCTTGGCATGGTTAGTGAGATGAGACTGACACGCATGAAATGATGATGGGCAATATCAGCTATCATATTATTATAGACCCAATGTGAGGGCTAGATTACCCAGAGCAAGCTTCCTAGAGGAGATGGTACTTGAGCAGTACCTTGAAGAACAGGTAGGTTTTAGGTTAACAAAAGGAAAGGGGGCATTCCTGGCAGAGGGAACAGTCATAGTCATAACTATGATTGGTCGAGGCCTTGCCAGGCCTGATTCAAAGCACTTGCATTGTCTCATTTGATCTTTCAACAACCCCATTTGGTACTATTGTCCCCATTTTACTGCCATGAAAATTAGGGCTCTGAGAAGTGAAGTCACCATCTAAAGCAACAGAGCTAATGAGTGGCAGAGCTGGGATTCAAACAAAGGTGGTCTGGCCCCAGAGCCTGCGTTAGATCGACAGGAATATCAACAGCAAAGGCACAGAATCAGAAAGGGACAGAGCTGGTTGCAGGGTGTGATTGGAGCAGAGACATGAGAGATTGAGCTGATGGGTAAAGGTACCTTATTGAAGACTTTGAAACTCTGATCTAGTTTACGTTTGATGTGGGACAGAGTAAGAAATAGGGAGCCAGTGAAGATTCTTGAATAGGAAAGTACCCCAATTCAGTTGGTGTTTAATGTGATATGACCTAAAAGTGGTGACTGGAGGTAGAACAACGGAGATAGGCTGGCAGACTCCTGCAGTATTTGGGGCATAAAGGGCCTGGACTAGAACAGGAGCTGCTGGTGGTGGGTTCTGGGAGAAGAGCTGTGGTTCTGTCTAATGGCAACAGTGAAAATGGACGTGGGGGGCAGGGGGGAGAGAGAGAGAGAGCGAGAGAGCGAGAGAGCGCAAACCAGGGCCAGAGAAACATCATAACAAAAGACTCAATGGAATTCAGTGTGGGATTGGATGGTTAGGGAGAAGGTGGCACCAAGGCTGACTGCCCGCACTTTAAACTCAGAACTCAAGAATCCTAAATATGGAAAAAGGCTTGAAATAGGAAAGATATCCTGTTTTCCACTATATCATCAGTGCCTAAAAACGCAGGACATAGTAGATACCCATGGTACATAGTACTACTACTGGTAGATGCTTGATAAATAGTTGTTGACCAGATAACTACCTGGTAGGAGCAGCTGGAGAGATTTCCTGGCAGTGTGGCTTTGTGTGTAGGACTCCAGAGCAAGCATAGCCCCCAAGGTCTCCTTGTGCCTTCAGCCTCCCCTCTGGGCACTCTGAAATCAATAGTAGAACAATGTGATTACAAAGCTAGGGGCTTCACCTGGCTTTCCTCCGCTTAAATCTTAGCCACTGTTGCTGACCTGTGGCTCTGCTTCCTGGCCTTTGACAAACAGCTTCCCCTGTCCTTCCTCCTATACTTCCTGGTCTATGTCTGGCCTATTACCACTCAATCCTTGTTTTCCCCAGCAAGGCCATTCTTCCGAGGACTATCCTTTTAGGCCTTAGCCCTCTAGAGCCTTGTACTACTGAGATCTTCTGTGCTTCTACTGGGGTGAAGGGCATTTCCAGCTAGGATGGAATCTTCCAGCTTGAATGTGATCATGAATGCTCCTGGGAGATGGAGAGCTGCTTTATCTCACGATATAGCAAGCTTGTTGAAGGCAGGGGCCCTTATCCTATTCAACCCTGTACTACCAGTGCCTAGTCTGGACCCTGGCACAGTAAATATGAATAAATCAATGAAAAAATAATTTATCTATTTATTTCTGTATCATCTACTTATTTATCATGTTTCTTGTACTCTGCCACTCATCTCTTTCTCTCTCATCCATTTCTCTCTACTATGTATTTCTCTACAATCTTTCTCAGAGTTTTCTCTTTTTCTGTCATTTATTTTCCCCTCTGTCATCTTTCCCTCTTATCTCTATCATTTGCCTGGCCCTTCCACCATCTCTCTCCATTCTCTCTCTACTCTCCCTCCTTCTGTCATTCTCCCTCCCATCAATCACCTTTTTATCTCCTGGCATTATCCATGCCCCACATGTACTCCACCACAGAACTCTTCCCCACTTGCAAGGGTGGCAACTGCTCATGCAAAGTACGCCAGGGGACAGGGATGGGTCCTGTATGTGGCAGTCAGTGCAAAAGTTGTGGCTGCATTCAGGGCCGTGGCGTTAGACCTATTTCTCTTTATATACTCCTGACCTGCTGAACAGTCAGTCTCCTCTGTCAGCCTAACATGGTACCATTTGCCACTTTGTTCTATCTTCCCTCACAGGAGTTGGGGCTTCCTGCCACCACTTTGCCTACCAACTCAGGTGTCTCACCTCTGTACCCATCTTATCTTTCACTCTGTCAATACCTATCCCATGCTTTGTTTGAACCAGCTCTGTCTCTCCCATTAATCTGTAAACTCTCGAGGGCAAAGACTGTATTGGATTCATCTCTGTAATCCCAGAGTTACCCATAGAGGACACACAGTAAACATACAACAAATGCTTATTCAATGAATGGCTGAAAATTGGAGAATTGACAACCCAGTTTTGACCTGTTCAAACTTTTCAATCACTTGCCCATTCCTTTCTCAGAGAAAAAATGGGAAGATTAACCAGATTGATTTTCTTTCTCAAAGAGAAGTGAGGATGTGCTCACTGTTCATTGGGCAGCAGCACTCATTTATTCCACAAATATTTATTGAACACCTACTATGTGTCCAGCACTGTGATACATGCTCAGGATACTCTTGTGAACAAAGCAGCCCTATTAAGCTGACATTCCATATCTCTAGAATGACGAAGATTTGAGAAGAAGGAGCTCAGGAGAGCCACTAAGATTCCCACACCAGTTCCTTGCAAGATGTTCTACTTTACTGAAGGAAAAGAGGGGGTGGAGCGGAAGCTGCCTGGGAAGTGATTTCAGCTCTGGTTCCTTAAGCCCACTTCCTGTCCCTTTCTTGCTGTAGGAGGAACGCCCCTGTCAGTAGGCCGCACTCATGGCATGTGGCCAAGCTGCTGGAGGGATGCCCTGAAGCAGCCACCACCATGCATTTCCCTTCCGAAGCCTTCAGCTTGTCCTGGCATTCTGGCTGCAACACAAGGTGAGTCTAGAGCCCTCCCCTCAAGACAGGCTGGAGGGTAGACAACTTGGACACTCCTCCTCCTCTGCTGTAGTCCCTGTTGGATGTTAGAGCCTCAAGTACTATAACGGAAAAACAAGTGGGAGTCCAGAGTACCTGAGTTCAAGTCCCAGTCTCTTGCTAACTCGCTGTGATTTTGGGCTAGTCCCTTTCCTTCTGGACAACGTTTCCTTGAAATACCTCATTGGGCTTACAAGACACCACACTGTCCTGCTTTTCATCCTAATTCACTAGCTGTTTTTTCTCCGTATCTCTTTTCTTAATTCCTTTCATTCTCCTGTCTCTTAATATAGGAGGACCCCGGGGCTCAGTTCTGGCCTCTTCTCTATCAATGGTGACTCACTGGTGCCCTTATCTGGTCTTTATTACCTCTGTCACATAGCCAAAGTCTTCAAAATAGGGAACTCCCTGAATAACCATTGTTGAAACAGTTGCCCAAGAGGCAGACAACGTTTTCTTTAGGCTGAGAGCCAGCAAAGGTGCTGCCCTTCACTGCCTTTTCCCTTCCACAAGATCTTCCCTCCAAGAAGAGATTTCTGTTGGAGGTTCAGAGAAACTAAGGGTTGAGTTTACCCCAATTTGGTGACTTTATTTGGAAACCAAGGGCTCAGGGCAGAGGCAGTTTTGTTGTGGAAGAATATGCAGAAATACACTTTGACATTCTTGAGCTTGGCTCCTGTTTGAGTGAGGATTTGTTTTTGTTTTTGTTTTTTTCAGCAAGAATAGTAGTGGAGTGGGTAGCAGGTTCCCTTGCCAACAAGAAATTGATGGATTCCTTGCCCAGAGAACAAGTGAGCCGACTGGCTAAGGGGCAAGGCAGGGAGCAAGAATGAGCAGAAGCTGACCTGAGGGTCTCATGGGCTGCTGCCACAGGTCAACTCTGGCTTTCTAGACTGTGGCCTTTCTGAGAGCAGCCTGCAACCTCTGGGGTTCTAGTCAAAGGGAGTTACTGGCATGACTTGGCTCAGTTTGGCTTTGTGTGTGGGAAATGGTACTTAAAATTGAAGATTGCATCTGATCCTAGCCATTCCCTTGGTCTTCCAGGTTTGGCTTTGCTGTGGGAGTTGGGGGAGGCGTGGGTGGGCTGAGGTCCCTATACTATCAATACTAGTATTAGAGAGGATCCTGATGACAAAAGCTAATAATCAAGAGAGTAGCAGCTGCTATGTATTGAACCCTCAGTAGGTACCTGGGCTGTGGTAAGGACTTTACATTTACTATCTGCTTTCATCTACACATCAACCCTCTGATATAGCTATTACTATTATTCCTATTTAAAAGGCCATATGGCAGTAGTGCTAAGACATTGGACTCAGGCCTGATTCAAATTCCAGCTGTGCTTCTTTAGCAGCGTAGTGTTTGTCAGTTTACTTTACCTCTCTAAGCTTAAGTTTCTTCCATTGTAAAGTGTAGATAATAATCTGTCCCATAAAGATGGGAACAATAGACACTGGGGAATACAAAAGCTGGGAGAAAGGAAGTGGGACAAGGGTCGGAAAAACTACCTATTGGATACTCTGCTCACTTCCCAGGTGATGAGTTCAATTGTACTCCACACCTCAGCATCATGTGATATACCTTTGTAACAAACCTGTACGTGTACCCCTAGAATCTAAAATAAAGGTTGGAAAAGAAAAAAAAAAAAAAAAAAGATCTGTCCTCTTCAGCTTGGAATGAAACCTTGTAAAGTGTCCGGCACATTGTAGGTCCTCAGTAAATAGTCAGGATTGCTATTATCAAGAAAAGAATAGGGGAACACCTGAATTACAGCCCTGTCTGTGCCAGTAGTTAGAGCTGGGTGTTCTTGAGTAAATCACCACCTCAAAATCACTTCCCTTTGCTGGGCTTGCTTTACACCAGTGGTTCTCAAAAGTGTGATTGCTGGATGAGCAAGCGGCACCAGCAGCACCTGGGAAGTTGTTGGAAGTACAAATTCTCAGGATTCACCGAGACCTAAAGCTCTAGGATGAGGACTAGTGTGACCCGTGTTTTAACAAGCCCTCCATGTGATTCTAATGCACGTGCTCAAGTTTGAGAATCGCTGATTTATTTACAAAATGGTCTGGCTACAATTGAATCAGCCCTTTAGGGCACCTCTCGAATGCTGATATTCTGTGATTGTCTCTTTTGGCAGGGAGCCACATGCTGACTCCCTAGGGACAGGGACAGCCTAGAAGCAATTTCAGACTTGGTAATGTCAAAGAAATAGAGGATAACCCCCATAGAGTTCTCCCATTTTTAGTCTTTGGGGTGTTTGCCCATCTTTTTTCCATATATCATCTTGTGTCCCATTTTACTAAGCCCCTGAGGCACCCCAATGTCCATCTTCTTCCCTGTTCCCCTTTCTTCCCTTTTTTTGGCCTACCCTCCTCTCATTTGTGGCATGGGTACCTCTGGGCTGGCCTGCCCTCTCCTATGGTAGGGCTGGCCATGAAGGGAAAGTGATCTGGTGACTTCGCTAACTAACCAGTATGCCCTGTGTCTTACAGTGACGTGTGTGTGCAGTGGTGTCCACTCTCCCGGCATTGCAGCACTGAGAAAAGCAGCTCCATTGGCAGCATGGAGAGCCTGGAGCAACCAGGCCAAGCCACCTATGAGAGCCATCTGTTGCCTATTGACCAGAACATGTACCCTAACCAGCGTGACTCTGCCTACAGCTCCTTCTCGGCCAGCTCAAATGCTTCTGACTGTGCCCTTTCCCTCAGGCCAGAGGAGGCAGCCTCTACAGACTGCATCATGCAAGGCCCAGGGCCAACTAAGGCCCCCAATGGCCGGCCTAATGTGGCTGAGACCTCAGGAGGTAGTCGGCGCACCAATGGTGGCCACCTGACCCCCAGCTCTCAGATGTCATCCCGTCCACAGGAGGGACACCAGTCAGGGCCTGCCAAGGCAGTCAGGGGCCCACCACAACCTCCAGTGAGGCGGGACAGCCTTCAGGCCTCCAGAGCCCAACTCCTCAATGGAGAGCAGCGCAGGGCATCTGAGCCTGTGGTCCCCTTGCCACAGAAGGAGAAACTGAGCTTAGAGACTGTGCTACCCACAAGGAACCCTAATAGGTTCTGTTGCCTCAGTGGGCATGACCAAGTGACAAGTGAGGGCCATCAGAACTGTGAGTTCAGTCAGCCTCCTGAATCCAGCCAGCAGGGCTCTGAGCATCTACTGATGCAGGCCTCAACCAAAGCTGTTGGATCCCCAAAAGCCTGTGACAAAGCTTCCAGCACGGATTCCAACCCACTCAATGAGGCTTCCGCAGAGCTAGCTAAGGCTTCTTTTGGCAGACCTCCACATCTCATAGGACCCACAGGGCATCGGCATAGTGCCCCTGAACAGCTGCTGGCATCCCACCTGCAGCACGTGCACCTTGATACTAGGGGCAGCAAAGGGATGGAGCTTCCACCCGGACAGGATGGGCACCAGTGGACTCTGTCCCCTTTGCACAGCAGCCACAAAGGGAAGAAAAGTCCATGTCCCCCTGCAGGAGGAACCCATGACCAGTCCAGCAAAGAAAGAAAGACCAGACAAATGGATGACAGGTCTTTGGTTTTGGGACACCAGAGCCAAAGCAGTCCCCCACATGTAGAGGCTGATGGACACCCCTCAGAAAAAGGTTTACTGGACCCAAACAGAACAAGCAGAGCAGGCAATGAATTGGCCAACCAGCAACCCTCTGCCTCTGGCTCCCTTGTTCAAAAAGCCAGAGACTGTTCTTCAACCACTAAAGTAGCTGGTGGCACAGAGGCAGGTGAAGAAGGAGACAGTGAGCACAAGGAGTGCAGCCGGATGGGTGGTAGGCGAAGTGGAGGGACCCGGGGCCGCTCAATCCAAAACCGGCGGAAGAGTGAGCGTTTTGCTACCAATCTGCGTAATGAAATTCAGAGGAGGAAGGCCCAGCTCCAGAAAAGCAAGAGTCCCTTGTCACAGCTGTGTGACACTAAGGAGCCAGTGGAAGAGACCCAGGAGCCCCCAGAAAGTCCTCCACTCACTGCCTCTAACACATCTCTTCTATCTTCATGTAAAAAACCTCCTAGCCCCAGAGACAAGCTCTTCAACAAAAGCATGATGCTCAGAGCTAGGTCTTCTGAGTGCCTCAGCCAAGCCCCTGAGAGCCATGAATCTAGGACAGGCTTAGAGGGACGAATAAGCCCTGGCCAGAGGCTTGGCCAGTCCTCTTTGGTCCTGAACACCTGGTGGAAAGCACCCGACCCATCCTCCTCAGACCCTGAGAAAGCACATGCTCACTGTGGAGTCCATGGAGGTCATTGGAAATGGTCTCGAGAGCATAATTCACAGCCACTTGTGGCAGTAGCCATGGAAGGCCCTTCCAACCCAGGTGACAACAAGGAATTGAAGGCTTCTACTGCTCAAGCTGGGGAGGATGCCATCCTCTTGCCTTTCGCAGACAGAAGAAAGTTCTTTGAAGAGAGTAGCAAATCCTTATCTACATCTCATTTGCCAGGTTTAACCACTCATAGCAACAAGACTTTTACCCAGAGACCAAAACCTATAGACCAAAACTTCCAGCCAGTGAGCTCCAACTATAGGGAATTGAGGCGCCATCCCATGGACCAATCATATCACTCCGCAGACCAACCATATCATGCCACAGACCAATCATATCATTCCATGTCACCCCTTCAGTCAGAAACTCCCACTTACTCAGAATGTTTTGCAAGCAGAGGTCTAGAAAATTCCATGTGTTGTAAGCCACTACACTGTGGTGATTTTGATTACCACAGGACCTGCTCTTACTCCTGCAGCGTTCAGGGAGCTCTAGTCCATGATCCTTGCATTTATTGTTCTGGGGAAATCTGCCCTGCCTTGCTAAAGAGAAATATGATGCCAAATTGCTACAACTGCCGGTGCCACCACCACCAGTGCATTCGGTGTTCAGTTTGCTATCATAATCCTCAGCACAGTACCCTCGAGGACAGCAGCTTGGCACCTGGCAACACTTGGAAACCCAGGAAGCCGACAGTGCAGGTGAGGACTTGGTTCTTGGGTGGGTAATTTTCATCATTCTCTTTGCGAGGAGAAAGCTAGATAAATCATTTAAAAATATAACAAGTATAATTCCTTGAAACTGTACAGCACTGGCTCCAGTAGTTGTTAGCTTAGTAACCATGAACAAGATACTCAGCCACCAAAATTGCAGTTGTCTCATCTTTAGAGTTAGATAAAAGTAACTTTTGCTTCATAAAATGGACACAACCGAGATTTATATCCTGACTATAAAATTGATATCTGAGTGACCCAAAGCAAGTCATTCAACCACACAAATTTGAAGTATGTGATTCTAAAGGGAAAAAATAATTTTCCCTCATAAAATAGCCAGTATTAAGAAGAGTCTCACTACCTCATCTCTAAAATAGAGGAATACCATGGCTGCCTCATGGATCAGTTGTGAGAGTCAAATGAGATTGTGTTTATGGAGTTCTAGGCCCAGTGCATGATACAAATATCACTTATTGCCTCCCATTTTCTGCTTCAGAAGTATTTAGAGATGCAAAATTTGCAAATATCCCCAGGCTTTGCTTTCAGAGATCTGACTAGTTGGGTTTTTAAAAAGACAAATCCTTTCCCCTTTCTCCATCCTGTCTCTGTTGGAGACCCAGGTCTAAACTGGCTGCTCTGATATCCCGGTTATGACCTATCACCATAACACAAGCCACCACCATCCTCCAGGCTACTTCTGGGAGGACTCCCTAGGTCCTTGCCCACTCACTGCCAAATTACTTCACCATGGCATCCCTGATGCCATCTTTTGGCCGGTGCATTCAAACCAGAAGTTAATTCCTGTGTTCAGCTGTTGCATACACAGACACTTTTGAAATGACTTAGTATCTGAATTTGCTCAGTATATATCCTTGGTTAAAAGGAACTTCAAGAGTGAAAAGAGCCTTACACAAAAGACTATGAACTCTACAATTCCTTTTACATGAAATTCTAAAACAGCTATTCTATGGGGGGAAAAAAATCCGAACACTGCTTGCCAATGGGAGGTGGCGCGAAGATTGACTGGAAAAGGGCATGAGGGAACTTGTGGGGTGGTGACAATGTTCTGTATCTTGGTAAGAGTTTGAGTTAAACATATGTACCTGTTAGAACTCAACAAATGTATAGCAAGGCTCCTAGGCAGCCAATGCACTTAGTATTTGTGCATTTCACTGGAAGTAAATTTTGCCTAAAAATGTTGTAAACAAATATCAAACTTTATTTAATATGTATGCTGAAGTGTTTTTGAAGTATACTGCTGCTGTATTCAACTTATTTTATGTTTTCAGCATACAAATCTTGTACATATTTTGTTATATTTGACCCTGAGATTTTATGAAAGCACCAAATCCTAGCCACTCAACCACCAGGGATATTTGTCCCTTAGATTTTATGTTTTTAGATGACATTATAAAGAGTATTATTTTCTTAATGTCAAGTTGAAATTCTTGATTACCACTGTATAGAAATATAATTGAATTTTGTATATTGACATTGTATCCTGCAACCTTGCCAAACTCACTTATTAGTTCTAATAGCTTTTTGGTGGATTATAAAACATTTTCTACATACACAATCATGCCATCTGCAAGAAGAATTTTGTATCTTCCTTTCTCCTGTACATGCCCTTTTCTGGGAGAGAGAAGAGCCTTATTGCACTGTCTCACCTTCAATACAATGTTTGGAGGAAATGGTAAGAGTGGACGTTGTTGCTTTTTTCTTAATCTTTCACTATAAAGTTTGATGTTAGCTGTAGGATTTTTGTGTAGGTGCCCTTTAATTGAGGAACATCTCTTTTATTCTTAATTTGCTGAGCGTTTTCATCAGAAGTGGATGTTGTATTTTTTTCAAATGCTTTTTCTGTATCTGTTGAGAAGATCATATAGTTTTTCTCTTTTAGTCTACTGATATGGGGAATGACACTGATTTTTAAAATAAATAGAAGCCTAGCATTGCCAGGATAAATCCCACTTGGTCATGATGTGTTATCCTTTTATATGTTACTAGATTTGCTAATATTTTGTTGAGGATTTTGCCTTTATGTTTATCAAGGATTTTAGTCTATGGTTTTATTATAACATCTTTTTCTGTTTGTTTGTTTGTTTGTTTGTTTGTTTGTATCAAGGTAATGCTAGCCTTAAAAAATGAGTTGGGATGTATTCCCTTCTCTTTTATTCAGGAGGAGTTTGTATAAAAATGTCTTCCTTAAAGGTTTGCTTGAATTCATCATTGAAGCCATCTGGGCCTGGAAGTTTTTTGGTAGAAAGCTTTTTAACTACAAATTCAATTTCTTTATTAGCTATGGGGACATTTAGGTCATCTATTTCTTCTTGAGTAAGCTTTAGTAGTTTGTGTCTTTCAAGAAATTTGTCCATTTCATTTACATTTTAAAATTTATGAGGATATAGTTGTTTTCAACTTACTTTAAAATGCACCAAGAATTTAAGATGGATTGGTAGATGGATAGAGGGGTAAATAGATATATGATAAGGCAAATATATCAAAATGTTAATTGTGGAATGTAGGTGCTGGGTATATGGGTGATCACTGTGAACTTCTTTCAACATTTTTTATGTCTGAATATATTCATAATGTTGAAAAAAAGAGGAGAGGAAATATAAAATAATGGTTTTAAGGGCACCAGACTGCCTGGTTTTGAATTTCTTCCCCCGAACTTACAATGCCTAAGCTTTCCCATCTAAAAGCATGGGGGTAGTAACAACACCTACTTCATAAGTTGGTTCTGGGGATTAAGTGATGTAACACGTGTAAGACTCACAGCAGTGACTGCCAGATCGTAATCATCTTATAAGTGAGTTATCATCCCTTAAAGGGACATTTTGGCTTAGCTTGAGAGACTTTTGCTGGAAGAAGGACTCACAGATAGACAGTAGAAAAAGTAGGCTGAGATTGGGGGTGAGTGGGGTGGGGGAAGTGAGGAGATGACGGCTGCAGTGATGTCAGCCCAGGACCAGCAACTCTATAAGAAAAGGAGGTACGATTTGCAGGTTGCAGCAATTGGCAGCAGTAATGCATGCAGATGAGGCTGTGCTTATACCATGCCTCTATTTTTTGTACTCTGAGGGAGGGATACCTTGGGTTCCTAATGCTTGTTAGACCAGCTAAGCAGGTCTGCTTAGAAACTAGGCATTCAGACATGTGGATGGCTGCCTAGGAGACAACACATGCCCATTTCTGCCCCTGTCATCTGAACCTTCCACTCCCACTCCACCCCCTCAAGAAATGAGAAAAACTTGCAGCATGGGTTAAGATGCTCTAGCTCTGATGACTAAGGTACTTGTGGTGGTAGCTATCTGAAGTAGGGCTGAGATCCTGCTCCTAATGCCCCTGGATGAGGTTGGTGAGCTAATTGGCTCCTGTTCAGTGCTGTGAAGACTGAAATCAGCATGCACTCACATCCTTCATACTTCATGCCAGCTTGTTTTGCATTCATCGTCAAATTATTTCACCTACCAATTGTATCAGATAAGTTATAATAGAATCTCCCACTTTACAACTGAGTAAGCTGAGAAAGCCAAGGCTCAGAGAGGTCACACATTTAGCAAGTGGCAGAGCCAGAATTTGAGTAACATGACAGTAACTAGCATCTGAGTGTCTACTGGGCACCAGGTACTATTCTAGGTGCTTTACATGTATCAAGTCATTGAGTTCTCAAGCAATATTATTATCATGATTATACTATGATATAGTTGGGGAAACTGAGGTAAAGAGAAGTTGAGTGGCTAGCCTGAGGCTGCAAGTGAAAGGCAGGTGTGCAATTTGAATCCATGCTATCAAGCTCCAGAGGCCAAGCTCCTGATTGTGCTACACTGCCTCTCCATAAGCTGATTGAAAAGCCCAGGCCCTGTCTAGTGTGGCAGGGTGCCCTCTAGCAGTATCAATTCCACTGGGGCAGCAAGTTCCCATCGCAATCTCCATTTGCAGCAAGCCGTGGGGATAACTGCCTCTTTGGTTCAAAGGATGCAAGCAATGTACCAGGAACTTATGTGGCCTAGGAAAAAAAAAGTAGAGTGATACTGTGAACCTCGGAACGTGGTTGGGAGTTGGTGCAGGACTCTGTTTGGTTTGGCCACTGCGATTTACTGAGCATGTCCACAGGGCTAGACAGGGCATGGACAGGAAATCCTGGCCCCCACTGTGGTTGAACAAGTAATGGTGTCTTTGCAGGCAGGAACATCTCACAAGGGCATCGAGACAGAGTCTAAAGTACAAGTGGTTAGAGCTGTTCTGACATGCCAGATATAGGCAGGGACTGCTCTGGTCCTTTAAATGCTGAAGCCAAGAAATAAACCTCAACTTTTCCATTGCTGCTAACATCCAGAGCCTCTTATGTGCCAAGCAATGTGCTAGGAGTTCTGTCTGCGTATCTTATTTATCATCACTACTGGTCACCAGATAGGAAACTGAGGTGAGGTTCAGGGAGGTAATATGAATAACCTCAAATAACACCACTATTAAGTGTCTTAGCCAGTGTGACTGCACCAAGGATCTGTTTATTCTGCTTCACCAGGTGTCTTACTTCCAGTAGGGAGACCTACTGGGGCAAAGGTAATAACATTTTGAATGGGGCTAATAATAGCAGCATTGGAGAAAGATGGAATTTGGAAGATCGGTGAATTTTAGGAAAAACTGTGCATTCCCATTGAGCTAAACTCTGAGTCTCTAGGTACGGAGTGTTGGATACAAAGTCAGAGAGAATCTGAAAGGCTAATTTGCATTCAGTTTGGAGCTAAAACAGGAAGGCAGGGACAGTTTTACAAATGGCACATATGGCTTGGTCTAGAAAAAAAAAGAGTTGCTTGGACATGGCCCTTAAGGAAAAAATGCCCAGGGTAGAGAGTCTACTCTTGTAATCTAGGGACTGTGGCACCCTGCACTCATATTCCCCAGAGATGGGCCCACCTCATCCCCTGCCAGCAGATGTGGGCAGAGAAGGAGGAGCCACTGCAGTGGGAGGCGTGCCGGCATACCTGCTATCCCTCTGCCTCACCTGGGGAGAGGGTTGCTGCAGCAGGAGCTTCTGCCCTCAAAGCCCCCTCAAGTACCAGGGCTTCCAAGAAGATGCTTTCTATGTTGGAAGAGGCAGGAGGAATGAGCAGGTTCACCCAGCAGAACAAACAAAAAGACCTCCATCCCTCCATGCAGGCAAGAGCCAGGGCAAACAGCAAACATACTAAACTGGTTTTTAATGTGGTTTGGGAGGGGAGTGGAGAAAGAGGGAAACAGCATTTCTAGACCACGGTGTCCGGGTCACTAAGTGCTCCCTTAGTCTCTGCATGCCTGCGGCAGTTTAGCAAGCCTCCCGACAGAAAGGCAGCCACTCCAGGTACACGTTTATCAGCCTGCATAGCAGAGTAGAAGGAACAAGCTGGGGGGCTAGGCCAGACACCAGCTCCTGACCTCTTCACATTTTTTAGGTCATCTAGATACCTGGCTGCTCAAAGCTTTCTAACTTATCAGGATTTTGCTTTACAGGAATTTCCTGGGGACAAGTGGAATCCAATAACAGGAAACAGGAAGACCAGCCAGTCAGGGAGGTAAGTGAGCGCTCAGGGAGTTGGGGTGAGTTGGTGCCTCTGGAGCTTCTATAGAAATTGCTAAGGTCTTTGGTTTGCTTAGTTTCCTTTGAGGAAACTGGCCTGGTATCTAGACTAAGGGCTTGATGCCATAGATATAATTCAACCTGTCCCCCCGCCCCCTGCACTCCTAGATAGGTGGGTACAGACCAAACTGATTGCTAGGACATTTTGGAATGTGCAAGTTTCCTCTATTAGACTGAGACCCTTGAGAGAGGACACCATACCTTGGTCATAGCTTTATTCTCTGTACCCAGCGCAGTGCCTGATACAGAGAAGTTGTTCAAGAGGTATTTGTCATTTGCTTGCCAAATGAAGAAATGGAACCTCCTCCACCATTAAATGGGTGAAATGACACAAAAGTAATAATGCTAGCTAACGTTTCTTGAACATAGTGCTCTATTCTAGACCCCATTCAAATCATTTTACAAGTATGTATTTGTCACTATGACCTTATGGAGTTGGTAATATTAGTCTTTCCGTTTGACAGAGAGAAGAAATTGAGACACACAGAGACACATTCATTTGCCTAAAGTCCCACAGCTAATCAGTTGACTAGACCCAGGTGGTCTAGCTTCAGGGACACTATACTACATTACAGTGTTTCTCTGAAATGGTTCTTTCACTGATTAGTCAGTGAAATAAGAGGACTTTATTGAAAACCTAGTATAGGTTCTGCCTTTTTCTGGGCAAGGTGAGAAATACGAGCAAAAGAGCAGCAGGAAGCACAGTGCCTGCCCACAGCTTGAGCAGGGAAGACTAACCCACACAAAGCTAAATGGCAATAATAATAAATTACCACTTGCCAAACAACCTATGTGCTGCAAGTCGAGTTATACGTACTATGTTATGCTTTATCTTCCCAAGAACTCTGTCAGGTAGGTATGATTATATAACTGGGGTGATGGGTCTCAAACTTGAGTGTGCAATTGAAACACAGATAAACAGTTGGACCCACCCTGCGCCCTGAGAGTGATTCAGTAAGGGGGGAGTGGAGCTCAAAACCTGTAACTCTAATAGGTTCTAAGAGCATCTGGGTGATGCTGATGCAGCTGGTCCTGGGATCCAGTTTGAGAATTGGTAACTCAGATAAAGGATCACAGTCAGAGAGCCTAAGGAATCTACTCAAGGTCTCACAGCTAGTAAAGGGATAAGCTATGAATTAAGCCCAGCTTTTTCTTTCTCACACAAGTTGACAGAAGATGAAACCCTGTCAAATACAGGGCTTAAGAAGCACCTGGCACCTGGTAAGGGGCAGTACGTGGTAACTATTATTATACACTATTTAAGTTCATTGGAGGGTAAAAACAGCTAGAGGTTGGTAGCTGCAGGAGGAAAGGCCCATAGAGGAAACTAAGAAGGGTGTGTTGGAGGAATAATCCCCACCAGTTAAGTTCTGGCCTTGGAGTCACTTCTGCCTGGGTTCAAAGCCAGGTTCTTCTATTCACTAACCATGTGACCTTGGCAAGTGCCTACCTGCCTGCCTCTCTCCCTCTCTCTCTTTCCCTTCCCCCCTTATTTATAAAATGGGATAAGAGTATCTATCTCAAATGTTTGTTGTTATGAGGACTAAATGAATTAATATATATGTAAAGCATTTAGAGCAAAACCTGACACCATAAACTCTCAGGAAATGTTATCTGTAATGAGGAGGAAGAAGAACAGCAGCAGCAGAGAAGAAAGGTGAGTAGTGAAGCACTGGACCAGCCTAGGCAGGCCTTGACCAGCCTAGGTAGACCAGCCTAGGTAAACCTAGGTAGGATCATAAACATGGGAGCAATGAAAGGTTACTATCAGGTAAGTGACATGATAAAGATGGCCCTTTAGGCAACTTTGCAGTGTTTGCAGCCTAAGTGGGTTGAAGAGAGACCAGTTAGGGAAGGTGATCTGGGCATGACAGAATGTGGCCCTGGATTGGGGAGGTAGAGGTGCGATAGAAATGGAGCAGAAGGAATAGATAAATATGTGTGATATTTGGGGGAGGGGAGTTTGTTTATTGTGAAAACAATATTACAGGAAATTAAAAATAGAAGAAAAAAATAACCTTACTGTTACCACCGTAACACCCTGGTTATTTTCATTTCCCTGTCAGCTTTATCTGTAGGTATAGAGATTTTTCTAAGCGTGATTATAATAACCATGTAGATGTAATTTTGTGTGCCCTGCTTCTTTTTCCTCTCTAAGCATTACTTGGTAAACAATTTTTCATGTTGCTATGCAGGCTTCCTTAAGTCATAATTTTTAGTGGCTGTATAATATTTCACCAGCTTAATGTGCTCGAATTTGCTTAATCATTCCCAAATTGTTGGGTAAATAGGTTGTTTCCAATTTCTTGCTATTATAAAGTAATGCAGCAGAAACATTTTGAGTCACTATAGCTTTTTTCTCATTTTGAATTATCTCATTAAAAACAATTATGTGGAGTTGGGATTACTAGTGCAAAGAATATGAACATTCTTATGGTTCTTCATAGATTTTACCCATCTGTTTTCCCCACGAGATGTTTCACATGCCATTAGCAATATATGAGAATACCAGTTTTCCAAAATTATGTCACCATTGAAAATTTTCTTTTTCTAATGCCATACAGTTTAATGGGACCTATTATAGTTTTAATTTGCTTACTTTGATCATTCTAGTTTGAATATTTTGTGTGTCTAATTAATATATTAATATCTGAATATTTTGTGTGTCTAATTAATATATTAATATCTGTATTGCTTCTCATGTGAATTATCTGTTCAGATTATTTGCTCACAAATATGTGACACCTTTTAAGGGTAAAGTAGAGAAAACTTGGTGACTAGAACTTGAGGAGAAAAAAGGAAATATATCTTAGCTAAGCATGATAGTGCACACCTGTAGTCCTACTGCTCAGGAGGCTAAGGTGGGAGGATCACTTGAGCCCAGGAGTTCGAGGCGGTAGTGAGCTGTGATCACACGACTGCATTGCATCCTGGGTGACAGAGCAAGACCCAGTCTCAAAAAAAAAAAAAAAAAAAAAAAGATAAAAAACAACCCTGAGCCCCAGTGACTTGGAGAAAGTTATTGGCATATATGGGGCAGTTGAGAAGGGGAGCTGGTTTGGTGAAGATGCTGCTAAGTTTGAATTGGGATATGTTGTATTTGAAGTTAGTGGAAGATACAAGTTGAGGCTTTCAAGGCTTGTCAAGCACCCAGCCAGGGGACAGGATAAGGAAGAAGAATCAACAAAGGAAACTGAAGGGTCAAGCAGCTAACGTAGTAGAAGGAGAAATCTGCCAGTGTAGAAGATAAGCAGATGACTGTTAATGTCCTTAACAGTTTGGAATTACAAGTGACCTTCAAGAAAGCAAATTCAGTAAAGCTGTGGGCATAGAAAATAGATGGCATGGTGGTCTGTAAGGGGGAAGCATTAAGAGAAGAAATGCAAGCAGCTTTACACATCACAAATTTACCTGTTTTAAGTGTACAATTCAATGATCTTTACTAAATTTACAGTGATGTATAATCATCACCACAATCTAGTTTTAGAGCATTTCTATCACCCTTAAAAAGACCCCTCATGCCCTTTAGCCGTTGCTTTCCATTCCCACTCTCAACCTCAAGCAACCACTAATCTACTTTCTGTCTTTATAGATCTTCCTTTTCTGTGCACTCCATATGACTCAAATCACACAATATGTGGTCTTTTATGCCTGACTCCTTTCACTTAGCATAATGTTTAGCAGTTCATCCATGTATCAGTACTTCATTCCTTTTTATTTCCAAATAATATTCCATTGTATGGATGCATCATATTTTGTTTACTAGTCCTTCCACTAATGGATTGTTGGGTTGTTTTAACTTTTTGGCTATTGTGAATATTACTGCCATGAACATTCATGTACAAGTTTCTGTGTAGATTTATGTTTTTAATTCTCTTCGGTACATATTTAAGAGTGAAATTGCTGGGCCAAGCGGTAACTTTATTGTTTAACTTTTTGAGGAACTGCCCATTCTCTAAAGCAACTGCACCATTTTACATTCCCACCAGCAAAAGAGAGTTCCAGTTTCTTTTGGCTAATTTTAATACAATGATTAATTGTTACTGCGTGATTTTTAAAATGTTTAAAAAGGGGCCTTGCACGGTGGCTCACACCTGTAATCTCAACACTTTGGGAGACTGAAGCGGGCAGATTCCTTGAGGTCAGGAATTCAAGACCAGCTTGGCCAACATGGTGAAACCCTGTCTCCACTAAAACTATAAAAATTAGCCGGGCATGGTGGCAGGCGCCTGTAATCCCAGCTACTCAGGAGGCTGAGGCAGGAGAATTGCTTGAATCCGGGAGGCGGACGTTGCAGTGAGCCAAGATTGTGATACTGCACTCCAGCCTGGGCAACAGAGCGAGACTCTGTCTCAAAAGAAAAAAAAATGTTTAAAAAGGAAGATGTTTAAAAATAATAAATTAGCTAGGAAAAGTAAAGAGAGAAATAGGATGATAGAGGGAGCAGTTGGGTTTAATTTAGTGGTTCTCAAAATGTGGCCCCAGGCCCAGAAACCTCCGTATCACCTGAGAACTTGTTAGAAATGCACATTCTCAGGCTATACTCAGACCTACTGATTCAGAAAGTGAGGATGTGGCCCAGCAATCTCTGTTTTAACAAGCCCTCCAGGCAATTCTGACACAAGCTAAGTTTCAGAACCACCAGTTTGAATGAAGCTTCAGTCAGGATCTAGAAAACTGAATTAAGTTTAAAACAGAAAGGAAAGCTCAGCAGAAAAGGAAGAAGTATTGACACTGAAGATGGAAGAGGCAGGTCCCAATTGAAGATCTCAGGAAACATGAGAAGGACTAGGAAATGTCCAGGGCATAGATGACATCTGCGAGGAGAAATCCTGATAGAGTTTCCCCTCACACCTTCCCCCACCACCACACACACATTTTAACATTTACTATGTTATTTCTGTCACAACTGGAATCATGGGTGTAGGTGGAAAA